CATAGATATCAAATTCACCTGCCACAAATTAAATAATTGAGCTTTGGTTACTGGAATGTAAGCTTATTAACTGGTATTAATAAAGTCAAACATATAGAATGATGTTCTTAATATTATTTTAATAAAACTTCTGTTAAATAGGAGCAAATGTTACAAAGAGGACCCATTAAAAATGTTTTAGCAAGAGGTTTAAGTTCTTTTAAGTAAAAGTATTCACAAGCAAAGGTGAATATTATGTTCTTCTATGAAAAATACATGGTTGGAAACTGTTAATTCAGTCTAGTATGGGAAAGAGAACTGATAGTAAGTAAGAAAAACAAAGAAGATCAAACTGAAAAAAAGGAAGTGTTAGGGAAGGATGCTATATGAATTACACTTTAAGAACTTCTTTGGCTTGGCCTCTTAAAAGGATTTTCAGACCATTATAAAAAGGTATATCACATTTTCCATGTCCCATTTTTACCCCAAATAACCATAAGCATTCTTATCTTTGGAAACAGCTTTCTAAGTAGGATTCACACAATAAGCTACTTTAGTCATCTATCCATTTATTTGCTTATTTATTTGTTTCCTTCACTTTTTTTACTTAAATGCCAGCTTTATAAGGTCAGGGATTTTTCTTTATGTTCCCCTACAAAAATATCTGCCACATATCAGTGCTCAAGGAATACTTATGAGGTTTTTTTTTTAACTAATTCACTCTTTACCCAGTATTCCCTGAAGTCTGACCACATGACAGGTTCTAGATGTGCAATATTAAAAGGGAATTCCAGTACAAGTAAAATAAAACCAATTCATGAGAAATCTTTAAATTCAATGAAGCTAACAACCTTCTCATACTAAAATCAGTCTACATTTAAAATAATGGTATTTATACCTTCCCTCCTTGAGTAAGGTGAGGAGGAAATACAGGCCAGTTTAGATCAAATGATATAACACAAAACAAAATTCAGGTTAAAAATGAAACAGCTGGACTGTTAAATTGTGGCTCTTGAGAGGTAGCAGGATCTTTGTGACAATGGAACAGTGGCTATATAGTGACAGTGATGGTGGTTACACAAGTCTATACATGTGATACAACTGCACATAACTTAAAACACACAAATGAGTGCACGTAAAGCCAAAGGAATCAGTATAAAGTTGGTGAATTATACCATCATCAATCTCCTGTTGAGACATTGTGCCATAATGATGCAAGATGTTACTAAAGAGGAAGTCAAGTGGACAAGATATTTCGCTCTGTTATTTCTTGTAACTGCATATCCAGCTACAATAACTGGAAAAATAAATTAACAAGATAAAGCAGCAGGATGTTTATGAAACTTTCTATCAGCAAAATATTGGCCAGATAGTGGTCAGTCAATGACCAGATAAATGTCCAATGAAGGAATGAATCTACAGGATAATCAACAATAAAAATACTATAATTTTTGTTTGTGACATAGAAGGGTGTTTGCCATTCTGTAATCAAACGAAGCAGGACTTACAAAATATCCATGTAGGACCACATATGGTTCTGTTTTTAATTTTGTTTATCTACACTTCATTTTTTTTCTAAAATAAACAATAATACCTGAACAAACATGTAAAAGTCTGTCTGTCCTGTGGATAGGGCTCAGGAGAAATCTGTGGTCTTCTGGAACAAAAACAAGACAAGTGGGAAGATTATAGAGAAAACTATTTCAGCTCCATATAAGGATGGATGATCTCCCTGCAAGAGCTGTGGAACAGGAACCATCAGCTCCTGAGCCCATGACTTCCGATGGGGTGGTGTGCACCAGGGGCTGGTAAATTCCTTATTAATAATTACGTGGTGAGAGTCTGGCTTCAGGCGAGGAGGCTGGACCCAGCTGCTTTGCAATTCTCAAGCTTTGAGCCATTTGATTTAGCAACGAATTTAACAGACATCACCTCTCATTTCAAAAGGCCCTTTTTATGTTTCAAAGCACTTTCACATATGCCGGTTTATATTCATTTCATTTCATTTCAGTACTCTTTATTTTAAATCCCAGTCTCTACAACAAATCTGTACAGTAAGGAGGACGGGTATGATCAACTCCATGCCATTGAATTAAAAACTGAGACAGCCAGTCACCACCTTTTATGTCAGAGGCAAATTAAGAGGTCACATCTCCTTTCTCTTGATTCACAGCCCTACCAATCTTTCCCCTAAATTCACAGAGCTATCCCCTTCTCACCAGGGTTTGGAAACTGAGCAACTTGACCTAAAATTGCTTGCATGATGGCTGCCAGTTGAAAGAAAGCTAACAATGCTTGGCACTTACTGAAAAGGGCATCCCCATCTGACTATCCCTACTAACTTATGTCAGCTTGGTTTAAAAAAAAAAAAATCACCATCAATCAAACTTGAATAGTCCAAAAGGCTGATAAATTTGGTTGGGATGCTCAGTCAATGTAATTATCCTGTACCTGTGTTCTCCGGAAGGAGGCCTGAAGTGCAGCTTCTGAGCCGGTTAAATAGTGAATAGGGCCTATATTGGGTTTAATGAAGCAGGGTTTTGTTACTTTTACCAAAGGTATTAACAGAGGAATTTTGTATTTATTTTGCAGTGGCAGCAGATTAAGCACTTTAGCAATAATGTGGCAATTCACCAAAAGAAGTCTTAGTTAGGTGCTATCTGAAATCATGAAATTAAGTGGTAAAACATACACATAGAAAAGGTTTATATGTTTTAGAAAAATAATCCAAACTTTAGATAAATGATACTTTTCACAAAGTATCCTAAACAAATGACATATTTTCCTTGGCCAATCATGCCATTTTCAGATATGTATCATTTTCTGTGTGCCAAGCCCTCCTCTGAGTGTCTCTCCTCACAACCACCCCACAAAAGTCATCACAGGAGGAAACCAGAGGGTGAGCACCATTAAGGTCACTTCCCTCAAGTGACCCAGCCACCAAGTGGAAGCAGCAAGATTCCAACCCATGTCTGACAACTCCAAAACTAACAGGCTTCGCATTACTTGTTCCCTCAAAATGTTGAAAGTATATGCTCTTTCTATAAACAGGAAGTAATGAAAGTTTCCTTATAATGGCATAATAAATCATTGCTGGAGGTGTAGAGTTAACTTGGGAACAGCTGGAGAACAATGAGGGAAACTAAGCTGAACTTGACACATAGCTTGTGAGGAGGCAGAGGTGGAAAAGATGAATGGAAAAGAATTAAGGCTGACAGAAGCTATGTCTGGTGTTGTGAGTAAGTTATTGACCCAGGCAAAAGTGTCACAGGACCCTGAAATACTTTTCTTTATAGCTACATAAAATCTAGTCTCCAGCATTCAATGTAGTCACTCATTCAACAATTACTGAGTGCTTATCCTATGCCAGCCCTGTTCTCAGAAGGGTGGTTACTCAGGGACACAAACAGGGAGAAGTATCAGACCTGGAGGAGTTCACACAAACTCCATGAGAAAATGAGGTCGTAGAAAAGGAGCCTGAGGTAGAAGATTTGAGTTTTAATTCTGGTCAGATGGCCTTAAGCAAATTACTTGAAGTCTCTCTGAGTCTCAGTTCCCTCCCCTTTACACTGACGATAATAATATCTGTTTTTAATATATCTTCTTTTATTAGGAAAAATGAGAATTTTTTGTTAAAAAACTACTTATCCTTTGGTCTTGAAGAAACTGAAGTAGTTGACATGGAATAAAAGTTTTGTCCTCATTATTAAATCCTTCCAAATATTTCATTCAATATTTTCCATGATCTAAGCTTTCTGGGCTTAATGTTAACCATGTGTAAGGTTTATGGGGTCAGGATAAGGTCATTCTTCCATACCTAGCCACCAATTTCAAAGTCTATGTTACAAGCTTAAGATGCCGTAATTATATGTGCTTCCCCTTATTGTGGAGGGAAGTTGGATTTTAAATTATATCTTAGTGACTATTTCATTTTAAACTTATAAGGAGATGTTGCTTCTTGCCTACTTCTTCAGAAATACATTCATAACAATTGATTATTTCTAAAACCTTTGAGTAATTTTCTTTCTGATGTTCTTTCATGATGATATTATTTCATTGTGAAAATGAAATAAGATCTAGGTGGAGATGGGTGTGTCATACGCCCACAGGAACAATTTCCCACCCAGCACACAGCTGTACTATGTTGATTAAATCAAAGGAGGAGATTGGTTCCAGTCCCCTTCATTACCTACCCTGGCCCAGATGGGGGGTGAGGGATTTCCAAGTTTGCTTTTATCAGCCCAACAAATCAGAGCTCTGCTTTCTAAACAAAGAAATGCCAACCTTGAGAGTCTATGAAAGTCAACACAAGCCAGGCATTGTACACAAGTGAAAAGAATATAATTAGCAAAGTTATAGTCACAATTAGGAAAAACCTCCTCAGAAAATTTTCCACTTAACTCTGAGCAGAGCTCAAATTACCTTTGTACTTAACAAGGCCTTGGTTTCTTGGCCAGTTCAGACCTTTGCCACATGACCAAGAACAGCATTCACACACATCACCCACAAAACACAGATGAACATAATCTAGGGCTTGAGACATCTATCTATCTATCTGTCTAACTATCATCTATCTACCTGTCTATCTATAATAATCTATCTATCTATCTATCTATCTATCTATCTATCTATCTATCTATCTATCTATCTGTCTGTCTGTCATCTATCAACTATCAATCTATCTACTATTATCTATATGTCTACTTACCTGTTTATCTATTTATCATCCATCCATTTAGCTATCTATCATCTAATCTATCTACCTAATCTCTTTATCTGTCGAATCTATGTATCTATATACTTACCTACTTACCTACATACCCACCTAACAGATATGAAAATGTGCACATTGAGACATACAGCTATAATTTTTAAAATAAGAAGTGTAGTCCAGGAAATGACTAGTCAAGAGTTAAGCTAAATTATTCTTTCTTCAAGCACGTTTCACGTTTGCTAGTCTTCCATCTTTCCCATCCTTAAAGAGAGGTTAAAGTGAGAGACTAGGAAATATAGGTACTCACTTCATCTCCAGGATCTCCTCGAGCTGTTTTCTCCTTTCCATCCGGAGGTTGGCCAAGTGAGCTTCCTTTTCAGCTAGGGACTGCTGTGTGGATGCGAGGCGTGCTTTGGTGGCATCTAGCTCCTGTCTGGTCTTCTCCAATGCGTTCATCAGTTCCTCTATCTAGAAGACACACAGAGCAAGATTATGTTATTCCTTTTTCAATCACAGGACACTCCTTGCTAGCTGGAGTACAGACAACAGACTAAATGAATCGAAGCTGGCCTCAAACTGGACACTGTATCTTGCAGCCCATACATTCTGTGTCACTGGTTAGAAAGAAATATTTCACAACAAGAAATGTCCAAATTTCTCCAATGTTCTCATTCAATTTTTCAAATAACTGCTAAAGAAACTCTTTAATATATTTATTAGAAATGGAGGGTAAGTTGACCCAATTTCAACCTGTGTTTGGCAAAAATCTCACATATTGCTTCACAGTCAGCAGAAGGCTACTTAAAGTGCATTTTGGCTGGCACAATATGGTTTTTTGTGTAGGCTTCAGAGCACTCTGACAGGAAGTTAATCTATGTGTTTCAGATCCATTCATGTTTTAAACTATCAAAGTCTTATTTGGCAAAAGTGATTTGATGTCCAAAGGCCTCAGGAGACCCATCTCCCTCCCCTCCCTGCCTCAAATTCAGGAAGCAAGATTTGGCCAAAAGTAAACAGAATTCCAGCCACAAAAGGTTCAAGTTTGGTTTGCCCCTGAAGTTTGAGAGGGTTCTAAACTTGAAATAAATGACATGTAACTTTTATAGGGTGCTAATACACCATAGAAATAAGCCAGACTATCAAATATCCAGGGTTTTCAGGCAGGTTCCAAAAAATTGGACTGGGCTGAGGGGTGGGTAGCCATGGATTTATCCTCCCCAAACCATTGGGGGATTTTAAAAGCCAACACACAACAAAGAGGACTGGTGTTTATGGTTCTGTTCTAGAAACTTCCATGGAGCAAGCTGGTGAAATGCCATCCTTGCACAGATGGAGCTGCATCTACTCTGCTTACTTAAAACCATGGTTCCAGGAAGTTTCTAGATTCCAGAGTCGATATTTGGGTTTCTGAGCCACCCCTTTAAGCTAAACTTGGCAGAATAGGATTATCCATCACCAAAGTCAACAGAACAACCTTCAAAATGTGTCAATGACATGTTAAGTTCCAATTCATAAAGACTTTCTACATAATTTCTACACTTTTACATGGAATTTACTCAGAATAAGCATTATAGTTCATAGCCGAGGTAAGTGACAGGATTTTAATATTGAGAAAACCTTCATTTCTTCCTGATAAAGACAGGAAACTTGATGATCATGTAATATAAATCAAAGCTAAAACCAAAATCATTTTTTTAAAGCAAGGAATGTACAGAACAACGTATCTATGAAAGTCACAGACTGACATCTATTTCATTGCAAAACATTTTTGGCATTATTCATCAACTTTGGAAATACAATCTAAACAGCAATGATGGACTTGTAATTTCTCATATAAGTACATAGAATGATTACTTGAAGCCTCTACAACCCAGTACTTGGTAAGACTGAAACAAAGTTTTTCTACTAACCATCCTCCTTTTTATTTTTTAAAGGTAAAAAGGATCAGAAGTCTGGGGATGCCAAATTTCTAGTCAGAAGCTATGGGCCTAGCTCTCCATGTGGGATGTCCTGTGTCCTCACAACCTGTTTCCCTTCATAATTATTCTTTCTTTCAAATATACTATTGATCCCAGAGAAGAGTATTCAGGATTCTGACCCACTGAATCTCTCACTAGCTGAAGCTGACCTGCCTGCAATCTATAGACAGAGCTACTTAAATAGGTCTCCAAATTCTAAGTTCATCTGCAACCTGACTTCTTAGCAAGCAGCAACTAGTTTCATATTAACCTGACTTTAACAATTCCACATTCGAATAATGACTTGCAGGTTGTTCCAGGATTTTCAGCAATAACCACATGGAGAAACCTGTAATCCATACTTCTTACTTATGGGGATGGCCATTGGCTTGAAACATCAATAATTCCTAATATGGAGTGAGACTGCTATTATCGTCACCTTGGAAACAGTCTCAAAATACCTTCCCAGGCTAAGATCTTTTATTCTTTTTAATTCAGGTGTCCTGACCAGGGAGCCCCCGACTTTGAGGCCACCAGGGTCACTGACCTGAGCTACACCATTCTAGTCTTAGCACAACCATGCTACTCTCTATAACTCTGTGCAAATAATCACTTGATTCATGAAATTTTAGTTTTCTAGATAATGCCCATGATACTACAGTAACATTCTAGAGTCCTTCAAACAGTTCCCTTTGCTGCCAAAGGAAAGGAAGCAATAAAACCAAGAAATGCTTCCCCTGGTCTGGTGACCATTAAGGGTGGATCATAATATTCCTATGAAATCCCACTACCTGGAGATAGTTATTATAACCATTTAGTTTTTCTCTCTCTCAGTATGTATGTGTTATTGAAATACTATATAAGATTGTGTGAAAGTTTTTAGCTTCATCTTTTTTATTAAATAGTCTCTTAGAACCTCAGTTTTAATGCGCAAATAGGGCTGTATCCAGCCTCATTTTCCTAAAAACCAACTTTTCCCTTGGGCCCTCTGAAGGTCTCCTTAGAGACCTACTTCCTTTTTATCTTTTGCAAGTTCTTGATCCTCAGCACTCCATGACTTGGTCCTTCTTCTCTGACATTTTCCTCAATCAGAGTCTTAATCCTCAAAAGGAGGATTAAGAGATTTACCCATAGCTCTCCCTTATGAAGATACTTCTGCAACTTTTGTCTCCTCTTACTTAACCTCTTTGGCACATACCCATCTCCTGACCACTTCCTTGAGTGTGTCTTAATATCAGTTTAGAACCAAAAAAATCAAAACCCAACTCATGAACCATGCCTAAACCAAATCCCAACCTATCTTCACCCTTCCTACTTACCACACACACCCACCATTTGGGTCCATTACCCTTACATTAGTCACTCATGCTCAAGACCTTGGATCCAAAAGTGGCTCTTCCTGCTTCTTCCTTTTTTATTTTCCATTGATCCCCAAGTCCTATATTCTATTTTGAAAACATTCTTGAGTGAATTATTTGCTTCTGTCATTTCTTTGGATGCTACCAGCTCAGGCCCCTTTCTTCTCCTCCCACATTTATGACGGGGCTGAAAATAATTGCGTGTGTATATGTTTGTGTGCATCTATTTGTGTTCCTAGCCTTCATCTCTACTCCTCTGAAAAGAGGACATGTCTTGCCAAATCAGCTCCTTCCCCAACAGAGCATATGTCTTCATCAGATCTATTACTAAAGTTTAGGAAATGGATTAGCAAATAGGTAGTAAAGTGGACTTGTGAAGATCTGTGCAAAGGTTTAGGGCAGACCATGATGAGCTATGTAGTAAAAGTAGTAAAAAGAAGAGAGAGAGCACCATATACCAGAGACATTTTGGGATCAAAAACGGGGGCGGGGGGAGGGAAGCGCATGGAATTTTGATGATGGCACATAGTGATGGGAAACCCGCGGGTATTACAAGTGAGATGGGGGAAAAAATGTACAAAATGATGTAAAAATAAACTGTTGTAAAATAAAAAAATTAATTAAAAAAGTTAAACCACAAAAAAAGAAGAGAGAGAGCAAAGAGAAAGAATGAGTCTTGAGCTTGAGAATGGAGAGAGGTTTTCACATGTCTTGAGAGCAGAATAAGGTGATTAGGAGGAAGAAACAAAGGAGACGAGGCAAGTGGGGTTTCCTGGAGTCATTTCAACGTTTTCTGAAGACACAAATAGAAGAGTGGACTTCCTTTTAATTTTTCTCAGCTATTCTGTGTCCTTGAATGAGCCTTCAAAATGAATGTGATGGATCTGGACTTCAAGATGTCCCACAGGGCTTATTGTCACAACTTTTCTTGGTACTGATGGCAAAATGTGACTAAATCATCAATATTTATTAAAACATCACTGTCCTGGATCTCACATCCCTAGAGATGCCTGATGATTTACAAACTAGAGCACCAGGTACTCCACCAAAGCTGGTAAACAGACCAGTGGATGGGAGGAAGATCATGAATCAGCAGAGATCAGAGATCCTACATCCAATAGGATCTGTTCTACTTGCATTGCTCTTTATACAGTACAAAATTTGAGATTCAAAAAATATTGAATTATTTTAAATCATGGGTTATGAAACCAAGGTGCACTAATTTCTGGTTCGCCTTGGGATACCAGTTTTCTCATCTGTAATAACAGTACCTCTCATAAGAGATATTGCAAGTATTAAATGGAGCAAAGAATGTAAAGCTCTCAGTGCAAGGGCTGGCAAATATAAAGCACTTAGTACACTCTTAACAGAAGAGGTAGCTCAGCACAGAATGTTAGCAACAGAATTCAGTAGCTAGCCAACACTTACTATCTGTGTCACTCTGAGTGAGTTATGCAAGTTTTCTGAGTCTTAGGCTCCTCACTTGTAAAGTGTGTGTATGTTTGGGCTGGAGAGGGGTGGGGTGGCTAGTGTTAACAACAGAACTTAGCTCAAAGAGCTTTTGTGAAGATTCAATGAGTTAATATGTGTGATACCCTAAAAGCAAGGTCTAGCTTTTGGTGCTATAAAAGTGTCATCTCTTATTAATACAGTGCCTGGTAAATAACCAACCCATTTTATGGTTGCTTATTATTGAATTCAAGATTTTGTACTTGCTGTCACCTACCTTCAACCAACCACACTTAAACACAAGCAGACACATCCCTGATTCGCCCTATGCTGACCCCTCCAATTACTGAAATTGCCCATCCCTCAAGGTCTGTCATGGAGCTCTGGCCTTCCTCACAGGGCACGGTGGTTAAAAAGCTGGAGCTCTGAAAGCCGCAGACCTGGCTCAGGAAGCATGGTATCTGTGATGTTAGGTAACCCTAACCCAATGCTTCCTGAACTCTGTTGCATATTAGAATGCTTAGGAAAGTTTTTCATGTCCTGATGCTATGGTCACACCAATTAACAAAATGTTTGACAGTGGGAGTCTGACACTTGATTAAAGATGCGGATGACTTCGAAGTGATTCCAAAGTGCAGTTAAATCTGAGAGCCTTAGACATCATTGACCTCTCTCTAACCCTGCAGGTCCTCTCCTATAAAAT